GCTGTACTATTAATAGAACATGCTTGAAAGATTGTAACAGTGTATTTCATAAATTTTCATTAATACTTGTATAGTAATGCCCCAGTTGATGAAGAAACGGTCATTTTTGGTGGCCTAAAATTGAAAATAAATTAAGATTTAATGTAAATTAAGAAAGTACATTTGATTTTTCCTATTTTTTGTAATCTATACTTGTTTAGTATTTATTGTGTAGTTTATTAATTTTTCCCCATTTATATTTTATGCCATAGCAATATAGTCTCTGCTTTAGTTCTAGAATGGCATAAAATTTTATGGCATTGTAATAAACATTATCTAAGGCATTATGATCTATAAATATTCAAATGCATTGGTCAATGGTTCTTATTTTTATTTCAAGTATATAAAAAGATTTTACACCAACCAAGATTTTTAGTGTTATAATCAGATTATCAATTTGCATACAGTTGCTAAGCAATACAGTAATTCGTGTCAGCTAAAACATTGTTTTTTTAAAAAAAAAATCAGCATCAAAACAAAATATATCTTGTTTGCACTTTCATTTATTTTTCATAGAAATCAAGTATTTATTTCTCATTAATTTTAGAAATGAAAATACACTATAATAGTTTAGTGGAATTTTTAGTACTAGGATTTGTCTCCCAAACTTGAAAAACAGTATTTTGGATAATCTTTAGGTCTTCTTTGTGATTTGGAATTTTAAGAATTGCTTCTCTTTTGTCTACTTATTGAAGACTCTAATAATTTTAAGATTTATTTTTAAACAGTTCCAAACAGATAAGGTGCAGTTATATTGTACAACCTAATATTTTTTAGCATGTTAGGGACAGGGAAGATTCAATTTAACAAAAACATTCCAAACATGGTAAAACCGCTCCTTATTTTACATGAGTAAGAGATTCAAGAATGAAAGAGGGTACAATTCAAGTTTGTAATTCAAGTTTCAATCACAACATGAAGCAACCTGAAGCAATTTGAAATTCTAGATTGGATTTGAAAGAAACATGTTACAATGTGGAAATTTCAAACATCTGAAGTTGCTTCACTTTTGAGGAGAATGAAATGAAAATAAAAGGGATCCTTTAACAAAATGTCTGTGGGGATTCTCAGCCATCCAGGACTGTCCAGTTGCCTTTTGAAAAAAGCACCTTTGAGATCCTTTAGCAAAGTTTACCTCTACAGAGTTTTGATTAGATCACTTCAAGAGTTTTACCACGATACGTTTTTTTAAATACTGCCTCCCCACAGCATATGCTTAAGAAGTGAGACTGGAGACATGAAGATAGGCAGCACAACTGCTTTTTAACTGTCTATCAAAAAAATTATTCCGATGACCACTGGATGTGAGCAAAAGGAAACAAAAATACCCCTAAATCTTAGTCACCATCTAAAGTTCTTGAATGTTCAGTGCCAAACTTATATTGTACAGCATTACCTATGGGAATCTATGCAAAAGAAGTCTGCACAACACACTTGAAATTGTGTAACCTTTTGAGAGGAGAAAGAGAGAGGGAGGGAGGGAGAGAATGAGAATTAATATGTAAGTTTTTAGGGAAGTGAAGGTTTGCATCACTGCAAGGTGGAAGTCATACTACCCATGTATGAAAGGAGAATGTATAAAACACAACGCATGTTGTTTTAAGACAGTTTCTCACACAGTGTTTAAATATTGCCAGAGATGTTCAGTTATACATTTGCTGCTTTATTCTCATTATAGTGAATGGATATTAGTCTCCCTCCATTCCTCCTTCCCTTCTGAGATTCACATTCGACTTCTCTCCCTCCTCTTGTATTTTTCAAAACAATGTCAATGTTTACAAATTAGTTGCTATTTCATGTTTTCCATGAGCAAAAGAAGTGAACTTATCCTAAATAAATAAGGTCATTGATTTATCAGGCCCACTCTGTGTGTCTGTGCACGCGTGGGTGCAATGCGAGCAGTTCTTTGAAATCAGGATATAGATATGCTAGAATTTCAACCTTTTAAAGCAAACTCTTGGTGCTTCTGTTACTACTGACGTGTAGGTCTTTTGCTTTTGTAAAGCACTCTGTGAACCAGATACTTGGCTGGCAGGATGTACAAACAAATGTTACTTAATTTATGAAGAAACATTGCAGATCTTATTCTGTGTTTGATGCGCTCAATTATTCTTCATTTTACTTCCAGCATTTGACAATATCTCACTTTACAATGTTTTCCTACACCTCCTCCTTTGCACATACAACCAGGACATTTCTTCTACTCTTTTTCATATATATTTTACAAGCTGCTTTGCCAATTGATCTTACCTCTTTTTTCCTCAATTAAAACATAATGCATTATTTGATAAATTACCTCTATACAAGATTTGAAACAGGTTTATGAAACTCTATGAAAACTGTGGGGGAATTTAAACAAGAAAACTATTTGCTACAATTAGGTAACGGTGCCGTGGCATTATCATGAATGGTGTAATTTCAGCTTTGGCTTCTGTCTTTGACAATGCTGGTGTGTTTCTGAATTCTTTATATGGATTATGCATGTATGAAAGAAGAGACACTTGATTTGGCAATGCTACATGTAAAAAGGAACTGGTGAAACATAACCAGCTTTTCAATTGCACTAAGAAAGTAATACATTATAAAGCCTTTCCCCACTGCTGAGTTAAATTACTATTTGCTCATTTTTGAATCAGAAGAAAATCATACCTGCATGAAATTTGCTGTCCTTCCACGTTTGCTGTTTCAAGCAACTCAAGGTACCAAAATAACAAACATTGACTCAAGGTACCAAAGTAACAAACATTGACTCAAGGTACCGAAGTAACAAAAATTAACAGATTTTATATATATCTTAAATTCAGCCCTGAATAGTTTCACGATAGGATAGCCAATGCAACTTTAAAATTGGTACCACTAATGCACAGTTGGGTGTTGATGAATGCGCCGGGGGGGGGGGGGGGGGGCAGAGATGTTAGGGCATGTTTGTGCCTTTGTTAATTACAACTAGTTGATGTACCATATCCTACAAAAGATGTTGACGAATTGGACTAGAAGAACAGCCAAGATAGGAAAGAAGCCAGAAATCTTGTTTTATGAGAAATAATGGAAAGGCTAAGTATTTAACCAGGAAAGAGAAGATTATGGGAAGATAAGGGGATTATGGGAAGATTGTTTGGCGAACTGGTTGTTGGAAGATAACATAGTTATCTTCAAGTAGCTGAAAGGCTATCCAGCAGAAAATGGAAATTGGAAACATAGGAAAGAGTCTGTCTAACTATTGTAAGAAACTTTCTAACATTGGAATATCTTTCAGTGGAGTCTTTTGCAGTAGAGATGTTTAAACAGAAGTCAGACAATTGTGCTACAACAGGAGTCCTCAACCCTGAGCCATAGCCCACTATCAGGCCTGTTCAAAATTGGGTGTCAAGGTTTCGACTAACGAATTAGCTGTACCACCATTGACACCGGGCTGCGGGAGAGATGGGCAAGTGCATGCGCCTGAAGCTCCATTTGCACAAGCGGAAGGCACTTGCACTCACACATGAAGCTTCATTTGTGTGAGCAGAGGGCACTTGCACTTGCACACAAAGCTCCATTTGCACAAATGGAGCTATACATGCTAGTGCTGTCTGCTCACGTAAGTGGAGCTCACATAAGTGCAACTGCCTGCTGCTTGTGTGAGTGGAGCTTTGTGCACAAGCACAAGCACCCTCCACCCACACACAAAGTTCCATTCACACGAGTGGAAGGCCCGTGTACTCTCTGGTCCCACAAATGGAACTCTGTGTGCGTGCATACTCTTGCCACTCACACATATCCCAACCGGGCCAGACTGCCACATTAGAAAGGTTGGGGACTGCTGTCCTACAACATCAACCCTCACTGGGTAGAGAACAGTTTTAAAAAATATCCAGAGTCCATTGCAACTGTTTTACGTTGTGAAATCAATGGGACTTATGTTTGGCCTGGTTAATTGATGTTTTCTGTTTTTTGCATAAAAAAATTTCCCAAGCTAAAAGTGGTAATCATATTACAGAGCTGACTTTGCTATTGGATCCTAACTGAATGTTCAGTTGTAGCATCGACATAACATCTCTTAACTTTTAAACAATGTTCGTTCACAGTCAAGGATAAGATCAGCAATAAAGTTAAACACTTATTTCGACTGGATTGCTTTTTCTAGTACGGCTCTTTCACAATCTAAATTGAGAAAAGTAAATAAAATTTCTTCAATATAAGTAGAAGTAACTATGTTTGAGTTGTTGTTTCTTTACTCAAAAATGAGCACATAAACTCAGAGCAGGTTAGATCCTTAGCATGGGAGTATGGTTTTTTAAAATCCTTTTGTTCCTGCTGGACTCATTTGCTCTATGGAGCCCTTCATTTGCAATTTAAACTACAAAAATAAAAACCCAGAAATAAATGGGATAATATATGGATAATTTGGGGACAGCATAAATGTTGAGGGCAATGTTTATTATGAGCCACAGTGGTGCAATGGTTAGAGTGCAGTGCTACAGACTACTTCTGCTGCCTGCCGGCTGCCTGCAATTTGGCAATTCAAATCTCGCCAGGCTCAAGATTGACTCAGCCTTTCATCCTTCCGAGGTCAATAAAATGAGGACGCAGATTGTTGGGGGCAATATACTGATTCTGTAAAACCACTTAGAGAGGGCTGTAAACAGTGATGGGGTTCAGCCAGTTCGCACCACTTCGGGAGAACCGGTTGTTAATTTTCTGAGCAGTTTGGTGAACTGGTTGTTGGAAGAAATCATTAGGGCAGAGAACCGGTTGTTAAATCATTTGAATCCCACCACTGGCTGTAAAGCACTGTGAAGCGGTGAAATGGTGTATAAGTCTAAGTGCTATTAAAAGGTTTTCATGATATAGTCCCATTCCATAACAGGGTCTAGCTCCTTAACATTTAGAATAATATGTTTGATGCTAGTAATAATGTTGCATATGCAGTTATGAGTATGTTATTTACATGTCATTTCTTTCTTTTGACCTTTTTGCAGAATATGTCAGAATGTCACAATGATCCCATCTAGCAACAGCACAATCCCTTCGTTACTTCCAAATGTGAGCACCTTCTGGATTCGAGACTCGCAAAGAAAAGGAGTACCCAATGAAGCTCCGTTGTTTACTAGCACCTATGGCCCTTCCCATGCAAACAAGAGCTTTTTCTTCTCTACCATAGGCATGACCAATGTGTCCCATGCTCCTCCTGATCCTCTGGGAGGACATGCTGTCTGGCAAGTGGTCCTGATTGCTTTCCTCACTGGCATTCTGGCCCTTGTCACAATCATCGGAAACATCTTGGTGATTGTGGCGTTTAAAGTCAACAAACAGCTAAAAACAGTTAACAACTACTTTTTGTTGAGTCTTGCTTGCGCGGACCTGATAATTGGTATTATTTCCATGAACCTTTTCACCACATATATAATCATGGGCCGCTGGGCTTTGGGAAACTTGGCCTGTGATCTATGGCTTTCCATTGACTATGTGGCAAGCAATGCTTCTGTCATGAATCTGCTGGTCATCAGTTTTGACAGATATTTTTCCATCACGAGGCCACTTACCTATAGAGCTAAACGAACAACCAGAAGGGCTGCAGTGATGATTGGCTTAGCTTGGGTCATCTCGTTCATCCTTTGGGCTCCTGCTATTCTGTTCTGGCAATATTTTGTCGGGGAGCGGACTGTCGAAGAGGGTGAATGTTATATCCAGTTCCTAAATGAACCTGTACTCACTTTTGGCACTGCCATAGCTGCCTTTTATTTGCCAGTTACTATTATGAGTATCTTGTACTGGAGGATATACAAGGAGACAGAGAAACGTACCAAAGAGTTAGCAGGACTCCAGGCTTCTGGGAGTGAGGCTGAGGCAGCGTGCTTTGTCAACCAAACAGGAAGTTCTAGAAGCTGTAGCAGTTATGAACTGCAGCAGCAGAACACAAAACATACCAAACGAAGAAAATATGGGGGCTGCAACTTCTGGATGACATCCAAGAGCTGGAAACCCAGTTCAGATCAGGTTGATCAGGAGCATAGCAGCAGCGATAGCTGGAACAACAATGATGGCAACGCATCCCTTGAGAACTCCGCCTCTTCTGATGAAGACGACATTGCCTCGGACACCCGAGCCATCTACTCCATTGTACTAAAGCTTCCAGGACATGGTACAATTCTCAATTCTGCGAAACTGCCTTCATCAGAAGATCTGCCTGGGTCAGAAGATGAACTGCAGAAGCTGGGCACAGAGTCAAAGGAGCAGAAACCAAAAAGGCTTCATCCACAAAAGAGCATGGATGATGGGAATTTACAGAAATGCTTTCCCAAGCTTCCAGTTCAACAAGCACCTGCAGTATATGCAGGAAAGGCTTCAGGCTGCAATTCCACAGGGATGAAGGGACCTAATGCCTTACCTTTGTCATTCAAGGAAGCCACCCTGGCCAAGAAGTTCGCCTTGAAGACAAGAAGTCAGATCACCAAACGAAAGCGAATGTCACTTATCAAAGAAAAGAAAGCTGCACAGACACTTAGCGCCATTTTGTTTGCCTTCATTATCACCTGGACCCCATATAATATCATGGTCCTGGTAAATACTTTTTGTAATTGTATCCCAAAAACATTTTGGAACCTGGGGTATTGGCTTTGCTACATCAATAGTACAGTGAACCCTATGTGCTATGCACTATGTAATAAAAATTTCAGAACCACATTCAAGATGTTATTGCTCTGTCAGTGTGACAAACGTAAACGACGTAGACAACAATATCAGCAGAGATCATCAGTCATTTTTCACAAGCGGATTCCACGGGAAACTTCATAGAGTAGTATTTTTTAACCACAATAATAAACATTAAAGGAAGGGTGGTTGCTGGAGCCAACTACATATCTTCAGAGATGTGAAAGTAGCAGCCTGGTGTATGTATCCTTTTAATACTTCCTGTATACTGTAACAGTTGAAGCCACATAAAGCAAAAACAAATTACAAATGTATTTATTAAAGAACAATCAGATATCTGAAAATTTATCTATACAATTCCAAAAAGCTGCATACAAAACTATGATCTATTCAGTCCTGCACTTGTTAATCCATTCTGGGATCTCAGGAGAGCACACATGTAGCTAGCCCACTCCCAATATGCTTTTCTGATAAATCTAGTAGGATCCAATATGTCACCAATTGGACTGATCTATTTCAAAATGTGGGTATATGTGTGTTCCGAATACTGTACAGATGTCCCAAACATTTTAGAGCTTCCCATCTTCTCCTTTTGTAGGCGCAATGTCAATTTGTTGACTCAGTTTATTAAATAACCCGTGCAGGAACATCCCATGCACTCAGCACTTGCTGTCTGTTTACAGGAAAGGTGAGGTCTTGTCTTAGCAGTAATTGCCACCACTATGAGATGTGAGCAGCACAAGGGGCCTTGAAAACAGTTTTTCAGAACTCGTTTATATTGTATTGATTTGGGCAATCTTAAAATTGTAACTCCACAGAATAATTTTATGTACAACAGTGAAGAATTTCCAAAGGGTGCATGTTATCCCTACACATTTAAGCAGAACTGAGTATGTATATTTTTCAAGTAGAGATATCCTTTAAATATTAAGATGTTCTTTAAACTGAAGAAGTGGGGCCACATGCAGAAGGCAGACGAGAAGTTCGTCTTCATGAGAAACTCGGTACAGACTTTACTTCTGCTTTAAATGTGGGGGTCACAGAGGAACTCAGATTTTTAGTACAGTACCAGCACAGCCCTGGGAATCTCTTAAGTTGTAGATAAGTCGGAGCAGAAAGTCTCATCCTTTCTACAAATTTGGCAGAGGGGAGGGAGAGAGAACCCCAGAAAGAAGCTTAAGAACGGTGTCAGCAAAAAATCAGGTCCGTGTTTATCCTGTTTTTTGTTGAAGCGTATGACAAGGACAAAGAATCCATGAAATAAGCACATTACTTCTTCCCAGCTGTCTGCATCACACTTTATTGGCACAAGGAGAATGCACCAGAGTCTTGTCTCTATTTTCTGTACATTGAAAGGCATTTTAGACATGGGATAAATAACTGTATTTTTAAAAAAATAACGAAATGGCACTTTCAATAATGCTTGTTGAGTTTGAAAGCTTCTGTTATTATTATTATTATTATTATTATTGCTGTTTTTGTTCCAAACAGTAGTGGAAATTTCCAGTTTGTGCAGTACAATGTCCCAAGTGAATGTAAGTTGTTTGCCAATTCAAATAGCTAAGCACCTTCTCAGAAAGACAAAAAAGGGCTGTAAAGTAGCTGAGACACAAGCAGTGATCCCTCTTATTTATCAATTCAGTCAGTTCAGCAGAGCTTGGACATGACCCCCACTCCCTCCCTGTTCTTAGCGACTCTGGTTGGTTCATTCAGGGCTGTGTGCACAGGAAATGTTCCAGAAGAGTCTATGCCTCTGCTGTACTTTGTAAAAGTCAAGACATGCCGGAGGAAAGGACTGTACTTTAAGCAATTGTTTCAGATAGGATTTATTAACATTTTTAAAAAAGCAATTTTGTATATTACCTTTCCAATCAACCAAGAGTTTTACGGGGCTTCTCCCCAGCTTTTTTTTTTTTTTCATTTTTGATCTGACACGCAGATCTGACAATTAAAAAAAGCAACTTCCTTTATGAAAAGAGGACTCAATGTTGTGAACACGGAACTGGTATAAGAGCTGCTTTTGTATTCAGTGTGAGATGGTGTTTACAGGTGATTTTGACAACAGTGGAAGTATATTAAATAGTGTCTGTGTATCTGAGCTATTTAATTTTGTGATCTATTAATATGAAGAAATATTTATATACATAAAAATGCCACCGAAATGTTTTATTTAAATGTTGATAAATATTGCTCTTTGGTCTTCAACTGTAATGTTCTTTTCAAGCAGATCATAAAAGTGTTCTTGAAACATGAACACAGTTTCCAAGTTTGTGTATCACAGATTGTGGTAGGTTACATTTGTGAACATTGAAAAAGATTCTTCTTGGTGGGCAACATACCCTCCTCAGAAACCCTTGCAAAAACAGCCAGGCATTCCTTCTAAGCTTCAAAAATGGGGGTGGGGGGGAGGGAAGGGATGTTAGAAACCCGTATGTCATAGAACTGGGCATGGGGATGAATGATATCCAAAGGGAATGTCTGGGGTGATTAGAATTGCCACATCTTCCTCTGACTGAGTTCTTGTATTTCTAAGAGATTCAGAACATTAAATTCTGAATTTAGATTCCAAATTTAGATTCCTAAAATGGTTGCTTTTCCCAGCATAGAGAAGCAACTTTGGGCAAGGGAAGACCTGCACCCAATTTTAGCCAATGACACTTTATTGGCACAAGACAGGCCTAGTCATTTTAAAAAGCATCACTTTGAGCAGCACTCTGTGGAAAGTCAAGTTCTAAAATGTAACTATTGAGAAATAAATGGGGACAACTTTGTACAGTTTAGAAGAAGGAAGGAAGGAAATGCATGCATGTTTTTAACCGACATGCTATATAAGGTATTCAGGCACCCAGCACCTGTAAGGTGCTCAAAACAATGTTTGTCTAAAAAGCCAAGTATTTCATATAGTATATTTTTTTAAAGTAAGAAAAGTGACTTTGTAAAGAAGGAATTCAGAGCAGAGATGTATCTCTGTTGTTTTAAATTTTAAATCAATAATCATATATCTTCCCTTCGGTGTGGCAGCCCTGTATCTCGTGAATAAACATCAGATCGTTTCAGAATAACTGCATACTGAGAGATACAACATCATAATATTGAGTATTTACAACTATGCACATTTCTGATTTGAGCAGTGCCACACAGCTGAGGAATCCCCAGGAGAAAATCAGTGGAAGTACAGACTGGTTTATTCATTGCTGTGCTGATTGTCACGCATTTCCTAGGTGCTCATTTGAGCCCTGGACATCAGCTGTGAGGGGCAGACAAGATCTGCGGGTTACAGCATGCCTGGATTAAAGAAATAGCACTTTCTTATGCCCTTCTCCTGAGTTTCATGCTCCTGATTAACCACTAAATCTAACCCTTCTTCCAGGATCCTGAAATCCAAATGAAGTTTGAGCTCTGTCTAAAACAAAAAGCAAGGGTGCTAATTCAACAAGGCTTGTACAAGCTGTAACACTCCCAAAATTTGAATGTAGAAAAAATTAAAACTCCTATCTCCCAAGGTCTGTCATAAAGTAATCCATTGCATGCTGAAACTATAAGATTTTAACTCTTGGATAGTCCCACCAGTATCAACTAAGAGGCCTTGACTCCCTCCATGACTCCTAGGTCCTTAGGAAATTTTTATTTACAGTTTCTAAAAAATATACCCATCTTTCACGGTTCAGTTCAGTTAAAAATGTATTTCAACACTATACTACATTCTTTCACTCCCTCCCTCCCTTCCCCCTTCTCTCGGGTAAGTGCAATTTCATCTAATAATTTGAGAGTCACACTGTGACAAGGATGCTATCGTGCATTGTATTAATTTCATGATAAAGTATATATTTTTAAATAAAAATTTAGCCTTTTGGCAAAAGCAAAACATCATTGTTTACACAAAAAATAAATTAGGAATTGCTTAGTGTTTGATACATAATCAGCTTCTTAGATGTCACTGACAATTGTAGGGCAGGCATATAATGTTCACAGGCTTTTTGACAAATGAATGTAATTCTGAATACTTTTTTGGTCTGTACCTGGGTATATGTGTATGTATAGCTGCACACATGGACATGGAAATACATAGGAAGACAATAATTAATCTGTGGATGGCACAGGTAGGTTTAGTTACAATGCAACGGTTCTCTTGGGGAGAACCAATATCTATAAACGACTCCCAAGCACCAAATGAGTTAACGGAGAATGTGGCTTAGAAAAAAGTTGCTGTATTTTAGAATAACTTCTGAGATACAACCTGATGGTAATAAAATTTGGAAGCATTCTACCGTGACATTTATAGTGTCTAAAATAATATCCCTTAATGGCTCAACGTTTTTCCCTTCCCTCTAGGCTTTCCTTGTACTCTGTTAATTATCACAGTGATAGTGCTGATGGAATATGACTCTAACAGTTAATAAGAGTGCTGGTGGAAAACTCATATTGAGACAAGGATAACTTTTCCCTACAAGAGCATACCAAGGAACCTTAGCATGAATGGTAATGGCATTACAGATCAAAGTGCCAGAAAGCATGAACCTGCAGGAATATACACTAGTCACATTATCACCTATAGGAATACCAACAGAATTTGTGAATTACTGCTTAACTGAGGAGACTAAAAGAGTTCATAAAGGCAATTTACAAAAGATCAGAGGAGTTGTTGTTGTTGTTGTTGTTATTATTATTATTATTATTATTATTATTATCATCATCATCATCATCATCATCATCTTAGCTTCTCCCAAAGAACCTACCAAAGGTATTATATTGCAGTGGCCATCAAGTCAGAGATCATCTTTAGCCTTCAGCTGAATGTATGCATTTGTTGAGGTTGACAGCCTGGTCTCTTGAAGGGCTTCTGGAGTGGGAAAATAGCATAACACTTCTTGTAGCTCTCTTAGAAAAACATACTTTTGTTTATCAAAAAACAGTCTTAGGAAGTTCCTTGTCAAGAAGCGGACATCACATTACTACTCTCCTGCCAACATTAATCCATGAACACCTGTGGCAAAAACAATTCATGTCCCAGTTTTGGGTTCTATAAAAGCCAAGGTCCTGCATTATCATGCTTCCTCATTCATGTCTATGGAGATTCTCAGTCATCCAGGTCATGGTTGTCCCAAAGTACTTTTTTCAAGAGGCAACTGGACTTTCTGACTTTCTTTGAAGATATTCAGCTTCTCATCCAAGAAGCTTCTTTAGCTCAGTCTAACTGGATGGTGGGGGATGGAAGAACTGGATGAAATTCTTCCATTCCCCACCATCCAGTCAGAGCTGAAGAAGCTTCTTGAGTGCGAAGCAAAACATCTTCAAAGAAAAACCAGAAAGTCCAGTTGCCTCTTGAAAAAAGGACCTTTGGGATGCTTTCTGCTGTACATGCCTGCACTGAAAGCATAAACTTAGGCAAGAAGGAGTTGTTACTGGAGCAAGACCAGCAGATCTGCAGAGACTTAATGCAGAATTCTCAGGTTAAGCACTAAGCAGAATTTCTGACTATGCCACAATTCTATCCGTTGATTCAAAAGACAACATTAGGTATTTCTATGTAATTCCTTTAGAAAGAAGCACAAGATGAAAATTTGTAATACAGCTGTTATGTCGGGGGGAAAGAACTCTCCTGCCATTTGTTTGATAGTCTCTTTCTCCACTCCACATTCACACAATGCACTGAAGAAGAGTGAGGCAATAGACCTTACTCCCACTCTTTCTCCTCCTACTCCTCTTGAAGCCACACATTTGTGTGGGGTTCTTCACAGATTCAGATAACTGCACCTCAAGATAACTGCATGTGTTTGATAAGCTGAATAAATCAGATTCCAAATCATGAAGAAAAAAAAATGGACAGCATTCAGCAAGAAATGTGAAACTTTTTTTTTTTCAGAACATAGCTTTTAAGACATGCAAAGCTTGCAGGAGAGCCAGCTGATAAAGTAACTCCATTGGCTCTGACTACTATAAGCCAAGTTCAAACTGATAGCATGGATTTAAGTTAAAGGCAAAAATTCCCTTGAGTGAGGTTCAACTCTAGTGATCACAAGAAGCAGTTAACTTATTCTGGTTGACACCATAAAAATAATTTGCCACCTTGTTTTTCCAGAATGCCTTTTTTAAAACTTCCCAGACCTGCAGTTCCTTGGTGGGTTCTCTTTAATTCTCAATGTGCCCAAACTCACTTAATTTTGAAACTAGACAAGGTTGCTCAGGTGCTCCCACCTGCTGAGAAAGCCTTTAAAGAACATGAGACCAAATTAATTTCCAAAACATCTCAGCTCAGCAGGTGCAGCAAGTCCCTGCTTTATTTATAGAAGCAACTCAGGCTGTGGTTCTTCTGCCATATGGGACTACCTCCCATCACCAATATGCTACAATAAACATTGGTACTTAAAACTGTGTGTTAAGAATTTTTAAATTGTTAAAACTGCTTCAAGGTTTTTTGATAGATAGATATGTTTAAATGCATAAATAAAAAAAAAACAACTGGAATAATTAGCTATTGCTGTGAGAACAGCAGTCAGACCAGAAGTAGTATTCAGCAGGTTCTGAGCAGTTCTGGAGAACCGGTAGTGGAAATGTTGACAAGTTTGGAGAACCATCAAATACCATCTCTGGAGATTTTACAGTATCCTTCCCCTGCCACGCCCACCAAGCCACACCCACAGAACCAGTAGTAAAAAAAAATTTGAATCCCACCACTGAGTCAGGCAATATCTTTGCTTACTTTACATTTAGAATTAGATATACAGGTAGTCCTCAACTTATGACCACAATTGAGCCCAAAATTTATGTTGCTAAGTAAGAAATGTGTGAAGTGAGAATTTTATGTCTTTTCTTGCCACGGTTATTAAGTGAATCACTGCAGTTATTAAGTTAGTAACACGGTTGTTAAGCAAGTCTGAGTCCCCCATTGATTTTGCTTGTTAGATGGTGGCAAAAGGTGTGTTCACATGACCCCAGGACACTGCAACCATCATAAATATGAACCAGTTGTCAAGCAAGCGTCTGAATGTAAATCATGTGACCGTGGGGATGCTGCAACAGTCATAAGTGTGAAAAATGGTCATAAGTCACCTTTTTCAGGACCATTGTAACTTCGAATGGTCACTAAATGAACTGTTGTAAGTCAAGGATTAACTGTAAATGCTGAAGAGCTGAATCTTGCAAATTACAGCTCTCACATTTTTAGCCTTTTAACAATTTAAAACCTCCCAGTGCTTCAAGCATTTAGCTTAAGATCAACCATCTCGAAAGGCTAACCCTTGGTGCTGAAT